GATAGATAGATAGATAGATAGATAGATAGATAGATAGATAGACAGATAGATGATAGATAGACATACAGTCAGCCAGGCCAACAGATACCTGAGGACCCTAGATCTGAAGATATGACAAGAATACAATTAAGTTGATGTGTTGCAGTGTGTGGGCATACTTCAAAGCAGGAAGCCACGGAAGTCCTCCTTAAGATGATTTCTGGGTATAACATACAAGTAACTAATGCAGTCTCAAGATAAGAACAGAGAAGGGATATTCCAGAAAGGGTAAGATCAGTGCAACTGGCATATATAGCAAGTAAAAAAGACAGTCCTATGCAAGGAGAGAGGGAGAAGGGGTTGGGGGTCAGACCAATTGGAAACTTAATATCTATGATTAAAAAATACTCATATTTTTCCTAGGGGGCACTAAGGATCTTTCAGAGGGTTTTAATCAGGACTGGCAAGTTCTATTGGTGAAAGAAAATTATTTATTCCAACCCCTTCATTGTCCCTCTACACTTAAAATATGAAGATAGTAAGGGTCAGGGACATCAAAGGATATAATCATTAACTCTAATTTTAACTCTTTACATTTAACATTGTATCCAACTGTGGGATGCCACAAGGCAGGGAAGGTATACCAGAAGATGGGTCTTATTGGGTATTAGGAGGAATCCAATGCAACAAACCATTTGTCTTCATAAAAACTTCTGTTTTAAATATTGCATGTCTTCATGATAAAAATCTTCAAAATAGTCCTATCGTGTACTTGATTATTACCTTATATTTACAAAGCTGTACTTCCTCAAAGGAAAAAGAGGTGTGTTAATTTGTCAAGCTGATGTTATAAAACTCATAAAAAGAAGCCCGTGAGTATGTGGGACTTACTCATTTACAGCAGTACATTGGAAGTAAATAACCTAAGAGATTTAACTTTAGTTCTATCTTTGCTGTAGGCATATTATTTCCTGTGAATTAAATAGTACTAAATTGAAAGGAACATGTCACAAAATAAGATATACAAATAACCATCAGATAGGTGAAAACATGCTCAGCATCACTAATCAGGGAAATGTCAGTCAAAACAGCAATAAGATGTACCCTACTACTGTAACAGTGGTAATATAGAGAAGAGTAAACAAGTCCTGGTAAGAATGTAGAAAAAGGAGAATTCTTCTACACTTACAGGAATGAAGCCATGCTCAAAAACAGTATGGAAGTTCCTCAGAGAATTAAAAATACATATTTCCAGGTAAGATGACAGATTAAAGACTTCATGATGTAATTTATTGAAAGAAAACAGGATAGTACACAGTGATTTCTATTCTTTCAAGACACAGTAGCTATGTGTGGACTTATAAAGCCTATGAGGTCTCTGTGGGGAAGCAGGCAGGAGCAGCTGTGAACTGGGACCCAGCTGCATAAATTGGCTTTGGTGTGGTCATTGGAAACCACAGGGAAGCACTTTACATCACACACACACTCAGTGGCCTTGTAGTTGCAGCTGGATAACAAAGGACTGGATTTGCAGTTGGAGGTGAGGCCTAGGAACTAAAGTATTTGAAACAGAGCTTTATTCCTGGCATGCTGGCTCCAGTTGAGGTAAGTGGAAATTGCCAGACAAATGTTTACAACCCCCATGCCCCCCTGGAACAGCCTGAGGACAAAACTGAAACAAAGCCCAGAGGTGGGTGGGTCCAGGGCCTGAACTGTGACACCACAACTGAGACAGTCATTCTACCCAGACTGTGGCTGGGGTCCATGGGAACCCACAGCAAGGGCTCCCACCTTGCCCTCCTCAGCACAGGGCTGCCAAACCAGACAGAGGATCTAGAAGGAACTGTACTTCTCAGCTCACCTGAGCCATGCCAGAAACTAAATCCAAAAGGTAATTGGTGGAATGTCCAGCAGGGCAATGCATACATGCAATAGATCAGGTTTTTCAACTTCCAACTGGAATTAGAACCTCAGTTCCCTCATTAATGCCTTTTACTATATGAAACTTAACAGGGAGGAAAGAATTCAAAACCCATCCCACCAAGGGGGAAATAGTGACTGGTGTAATTTTAAAAATTGAATCTACCATTATTATGTGCTGTCCATATTATTTCTGTTAAAATTTTTGTTTTTATTTTTTTTAATCTTCACTCTTGCACAAATACCTTGTAATGTTCTTGTTTTATTTCATACTCAGTTTGTATGATGGTTTCGTATGCTTCTGTCCAATTTTACTATTGCACACTTTATTGTTCTTCCTATATACAACCCATATATTTTATAAATCATTTCTACCTCTTCTCTTATTTTCTGTCCCCATTCCTTTCTTCTTTTAATTTATTAACTAAAAAATTCCAAAACTTTACTAATCTTTAAATGACTGGAACCTAATTGTTTGTCAACTCTATCCTCCCTGATATATTTCTCCATCTTTATTTTTTTTCCTTATTGGATCTTACATTAATCTTTATCTTTACCTAGCCTACATCCCTTCTATATTTTTCTCTTTTTTTGAGACAGGGTCTCCCTTTAGCCTGAGCTGGCCTGGAACTGGCTGTGTAGACCATGCTGGCCTCAAACTCAGAGATCTGCTTGCCTCTGCCTCCCAAGTGCTGGGATTAAAGGCATGTACTACCACGCCCAGGATCCCTTCTGTTTATAATCTTAGTAATATGCTAGTATCAACCATATCATCTTTACTTATTTATCTACCAAAAGTTATTGAAATTAAAAAGACCACCTGTTTTAATTAGATAAAAGGACATTTGCACAGTTGTCCTATACATCAAAGCTAATATTTTAATATTGGGTTATATTAGGCACTCTGAACACATAAAGTGAAGGTATAACTTCTGAACTATTCACCTAAACTCTAGCACAACCTAGCACCACATACCTTTTGACTGTAAAAATAGAGCTAATGCCGGGCGTGGTGCTGCATGCCTTTAATCCCAGCACTGGGGAGGCAGGGGCAGGCTGATCTTTGTGAGTTTGAGGCCAGCCTGGTCAATATAGTGAGTTCCAGGACAGCTGAGGCTACAAGGATGCCCTGTTTCAAAAAGACAAACAAACAAAAAATAGAGCTAACAAAATTCAGTCAATGCAATGACCGTACATGCATAAGTTCCAATACAGTGATACAAGAAACATGAAAAATCAAGGCAGTATGAACTCGTCCCCCTCCTTGAAATATGCCAATTCCACATTAATGGGCCATGATGAGAATGAATTAGGTACAATCCCAGACAAGGAAATTTTAAAATGTTTTATGAAAGAGGAGAGAATTAAGTCCTAAATGAATTCAAGAAGAATAAAAATAAAGAACAAAGTAAGAACGCCAATATACAATATGAAATGGTAATTCACTGAAGAAATAGAAATACTGAAAAAGTAAAATTGAAAATTTAAAAATGAAAGTGAGTCAGTCAAATAAACTCAATTGGAAGTCTCAATAATATAATGGATCATGTGGAAGAAAGAATATCAGACATGAGGGGCTGGAGAGATGGCTCAGCAGTTAAGAGCACTGGCTGTTCTTGCAGAGGACCCTGGTTCAGTTCCCAGCACCCACGTGGCGTCTAACAGCTGTCCCTAACTCCAGTTCCAGGGGATTGGATGCCCTTTTCTGACTTCCAAAGGTATTGCATGACATGGGTGCACTTACATACACGCAGGCAAAACACTCATACACATAAAATAAAAATAATAATCAGATACATACAGATTAGAGATGCAAGCGCCAACATCTCAGTGTTAATAGCAAAAACAATGAATGAGTCTTTCTCCAAGGAACAATATATTCTAAAATGAAATGGAGATTTTTTTTTAAAGGTTAAAAACTC